TTCTAATCGCATTTGTAATCTCTTCTTGCCCCTGCTTGGCGAGCGCAGGTGTAACTATAATACTCTCACTTCTTGATCTCCTCTCTTTTTCCTTTGTCGCGCGAAGTTTTTTTGTGCCTCTCTCTCATTTATCTCATTCACCCGCAGGTGCATGTCTGGATCAATGCGTGGAGAGCTGCTACGTCCCCCACACCGCGGCCCCATCATACATCCGTAGGCACTCCCTCTTCCTTTCTACTTCTTACTTCAGCATAATCCAGAATTACCTCGAGCACCTACCGACTGCTATAAAGCTCGCAAGTGCGACTAATTCGCTCTCCAATCTACACTTAGAGTTAGCGCGATCAGGAGGATCCGCTAATGAGTGCATACAGAAAGGTGAGTCGGGAGTCGGGCGATTCGACGAGTTGGTGCTGGATAGGTGGGGTTGACGTGTGACCGCGAAGGACTGTGGCACACGGGCACACACGTCTTGCCTACTTGGACTAAGCGGGATGACAACTTCGGGTTGATGATAGGTGCGAGGCGACGGACTGCCCGCATCAGGGGAACTTTGAAAGAGAGAGAGAGAGCGAGAGAGCGAGAGAGAAGGCGATATGCTGAAGTGAGAATTATTTCTTCACATCTTCTGTGTAATTTTCATCTCTGGGTTCGTCCATTCTCATTTGTGGCACTTTTGAACTTTCCTGTTTTTTCTTTGATTGATGTATGAAGCACCTTTACCTCCCCCATCTCTTTGTTTTGTTGCAAGGAGGATTGTTGATTGTAGAAATAAGGGCGCATTGCCAATAAATGAACGCCTTGATGATGTATGGACACATGTATGTGGTCTTGCCCACTTTCAAAATGAATATGTCCTTTTAGTGATCGAGTTGTCTCCCCAAACAAACCTCGATTGGGGAAGATGCATGTACAACGAGTAGGTTGCGATCTATGCATATGCCTGAGTGTGGATTTAATTTTTCTCATGCATGCCTTGCACGCCATTGAATTTGATGCATAAGAATGAGTGTTCCGTTCTCTCCTTTTGCCCGTCGAACGGCCATCTAATCTATCTAAGTTGATTCGGATTCGGTCAGAATAAATCATATGCACGCACGTATACGAGTGATTGCTAGATGACAGTCATCCCATATATGCGTGTCTGCATGACCCGACACCTCCTCTCTTTGCACGACCAAATGTATGAGTCATGTCCCTGTTGCCAAATATGGATGTCAACGTTCCATGCTTGACCACTGACCGTGCCAGTCTGAGGAACCGAGTATAGAGAATACTAGGAGAACGAACAACTCCTCCGCCGATCGAACTTAAGGCTTTTGGCCTACCCCTGTCAAACGGAGGACGATCGATTGTGTCAGTGTGTGCTTGGGACTTTCACTAGGCCATTGGACGGAATTCCTGAACCCTGGATTACCCTGACCCCCGTAATTACCAATACCATCTAACACCGGATTCGTCGCCATTGAAACCGACTTCCCTCCATTCTGTCTCCTTCTCCCCTATCACCATCTGACGGTAGTTCCCTGGGATTCAATCGCGCACTGCTGGCCCCAGAGGCCGTGTTTTGAGTGCCATCAGTACAACACTTACCGGGCAGTGGGATTCGTGCGACGGACCCACTCCGAAGCCGAGCACCGAGAACACAGTCTCCGGCTGAGGCCGTCCACGTCGGACTCGGAGATCTGTGTAACCCGCCGGCGAGAGGTGTTCGAACAGAGAGACACCCACTGTGTTCCATCAGTGCACCAGGTACGAGCCTGCCCTAGGCAACGGGGTCAGCGAAATTAGCCGCTCGACCCGGAGAAAGGCAAAACCCAAGACCTGACCCTACATGGAAACCCCTTGCATTTCCATCCCTGAAACTTGACAACGGAGATCACAGTTCCGACCTGGGACTCCACCCCACTTTCCTAAAATCCTTGGCACACTGTGACGCCCAACCTCACGCCCAACGCGACTTCCTGATCGGAGTGGAGTGTGGGCCTGGAAGTGCGAAAAGGGGTGTGCCAAGGATTTTTGGGGAAAGTGGGGGAGTCTTAAGGATATGAATGCAATTTGGTGGGCGAGGGAAGCGCACGCAAGGGTCTCACGGTCCCAAGGGACCGGGACACTGTGGATGACGGGTCACGGGAAAATTCCTCCGTGGTGGAGGTGGTCCCGGAAAGTTAGGCCGTCGGGGGTCGCCACGTGGCGCAGACCACCGCGTATTTGGGTTGGGCCTTCGGAATTCMGGAGTGCTCRGTGYGCYGCTGCRTCGGCAGTTTACGCAAAACGTATTGGGCSAATAGGGGGCTATGGCCGGCCACGGAACGACGYTGAGTTGATGATACGGGARAAGAAGGCGGAAAGGAGRGAAACTGGTGGTGATCTCAACGAATCCCGGGTGGGTGAAGTAGTAGGTGTGGTCGGGGGACGRGAAATCGRAGCACCGAGGGTYACTGGTGGTGGCASAGTGGAATTCCCGTGGACATAGCCGATTCTYSGTGTGACAGGGGYATCGTGTCCTTATGAGCTCGTTTATTATAGGGGTGAAATAGTCCGGGTCGTAGGATGAGTYTGAGTTCCAAGATCRCGTYATGGTATCATCGTCGATGGGATGGCTCAGGTCGGGTTATCGTCACCACGCACGAGCACGTGCAGGACAGGCAGGCTCAGTGGCGCCTTGTCGTGCTCGTACGGGATGATGGTTCCGCCGCGAGTCTTTTTGGGTGGGCGAATCGTCGTACGGGAGTGCGCGTAAGGGCGCGACTCGGATCGCGTTCTCGCGCGGTGCTCGCGGGGCCAGACTTCGGATCGTCTAATTGCTTCGGATTATGCAAGATGCAACCATATCACACCCCATCGTGAGACAAGCAAAAGCGAGAATAAAATCGCTATCGGGGCAAGATTCTCATCCCCTCTACAGCGGCATTAGGTGCGGGCAAAGATTCGATACAAACATAAAGCAAAGGCAAGGATTCTCAGCACAAAGATAGACAAGCAGGCATAACATCCATACATCCATACATTCGACAATCATGTACATAATGCAATGAGGATGAACATAGCAAAGACAAGTGTAAGCAAAAACCCAAGACTAGATTTCAGAAAGCCGAAACGAAGATGAGAACGGGCAAGCTGCCCGGAGCCGTAATCAAAACGTATGTACACAGGTGAA